TGTGTGCATAGGGCCTTGCATCCTGCTTGTGGAGTGCAGTGCCTCATATGAGAGTGTTCGGATCATACGTTTGACTGGTGGTGAGGATCAACCCTAAATTGCGGCACTAGCGTTTGCATTGCACACAGTTGCTGGCAGGCTCTGTTAATTTTGTATTATATTTTATTATAATGTATATTAAAAATATATAACTTGTATAGCACCAACAGTTTGCTCAGCACATTATGGAACTGTATGGTCTCCCTTTATTTTGTACAGAGTTAGGAGGGCCCTGTTCCTTGGAGCTTACCATCCACTAAACTCAACTGGCAAGTTTGCCGGTGCTGAGTTACACGCACCCTGTGTTACAGATGCTGCAAAGCGTCATGGCATGTGTATAGCACCATCAGGCTGTAATGGGACAGTTTGGGTGGGTTGTTAAACCCACAGCTCAGCTGCCTGTTTTTGCTGCCTGCCCCTCTGAAAGAGCACTTTTCTTTGTGTGGTGTGTGTTGTTTGTTTGTTTGTTTGTTGTTTTTTTTTTTTTTTTTTTTTTTTTTTTTTTTCCTCCCCTCTTCTGCAGACGCTGACTTGGATGTAAACCAATGTTACATTTGCCCACCAAAGAAATGCGTTGTGCTTCAGTTTGGTTCCATCTGAAATTTGACACTGAACACTTGTGAAAGGGCCCAGATGGTGCCTTTTGCACTGTGCATTTACCTGTATTTATGTGCAGTCCATTTTTATGAATTCTATTTTCTCTAAAACCTGTGAGAAGTATATGCTTCCATTGGAAAAAGCATCTGATCCATGCAGTAATGCGTGTGTGTGGTGTGTGGGGTTTTTTTTTTTCTCTATGGGCCTGTACATTCACATCTTTGCTGCTGCCATGTAACATCTCTGGAATACCTCACACAAGCCTATGTGAGGGTTGAAATGTAGCTTTTGGATTTGTTCAGTCAACATGGTCGTATTTCTGTGTGTGAAGGATTACCCTGGGGGAAAGGTGCAGAGAATCTCTGACTCTGCTCTCACCTCACCAGGAGATGAGTTGAGATTGGATTTCATTCTATTCACACCTGTGATGACTTCTCCTATATTTGCTCTGAAAGCACAGGATTGTCGTGTTGTCACCTGGAGCCAATCCTCAATGGTGCAGCACAATGGATTGTGGTTAATGAGCTCTGAGCTGCTCTTTAGTGGATGGTTATTTAGGAGTTTTAGGAGTGATGTTTTATATACAGGGATTGTTCTTGCGTACACGTAGATAATGGTGACTTTGCTAGCATCTCTGTGCTGGTTCTACTAATTTGTGGTGGCTCCTAGAACTCTTCAGGTTTATATGTTCCAGGGTTAGTTTTATTTCCAAGGATTATTCTTGGATACATGTAGGTTAGGGTGACCTTGTGTACCTTCTCTGCGCTGGTTCTAGGAAACCCCACAGGCAGTAGTACTCATTAAGTTTTAGTTCTCTTTACAGGGTGTTCAGCTTTTATATCCAGTTCATATCTAGTACTTTAATGACTATAAGCAGATCATAGGCACTATTGACTAAGCCAACTTCCCCCCCCCCCCCCCCCCCCCCCACCACCACCAGGATATATCCCATATCTTTTTGTACAAGATATGTGAGTAATCAGATGGGAAGCTTCAATGAACTGCTGCGGCTATGGGAATATGTTGCATGTTTCACCCTAAACAGGTGCAACATGTAACGTGTTCACAAAGGTAAACTTGCCCTTTAAATTGGTAGGGGTTACCTTACTAGGTATAGGAGCCTCAACTGCAGCTGCATCAGTGGTGCTACACAAGATTGCCAAAGACTGATACTCCTGGAGCTTGTCAAAGATTGACCTGCTACAGATGTGATTAAAGATTGATTCCAGCAGGCTCCTCTAGCCCATCTCCAAAGAGCACTCTGGCCTTGTGCTTCACCACTTCAACAAATCCAAGAAAATGCTCAAGAGTATTAAAAGAACAGACATGCAATTATGCATCACATCCCATGGACAGGACCTTCTCACATCTCCATCCTCAATGTGATAAACAGAAGTTCTTTCAGCAAAATAAGAGCGCATATGCATTGACGTTAACACTTTTGGGGTATTTTATTACATTTAATAAAGTAGTACCAACAGGTGATGTTCTTTTTATGAGTATTATAAAGGTTTCCCTGATCTGAAAGGAGCTGCAAGAATGATTTTTGACATGGGGAACTGCTGTATGAGAAGTTTCCTATTCTGCACTTGACCTATATCCTTAGCACTTGAGTGCTGGCAGTGTGCACAGACTGTTGGACACTAGGATATGTTACATGAGACTGTTAGATATTACAGCACCTTATGAAAAATATGCTCATTTTACTGGCTGCTGGGACCTGAGAGCCACACTATAAATACGAAAAGGCCACAGGTTGCATTCCAAGGTTGTGTGTGTGGTGGCAGTTTGGACAGGGTTGTAGATGGTGGTTGGCCTCCACTATATAAAAAGTTGGCCATACAACAATTTTTTTTAATTTCATCTTTTTGTTTTTGAAGTTTTAAAAAAAAAAGTTAGCTTTTGATCTTGCCATCCTTGAGTCAAGTTTTCGTCCAGAACTGCTACTTGAATGGAATATAAAAAATATTTTGTCTAGAAACATAAAAGTTACATTATGTAGGGTCGTTCCTGAAAGGGAAATATCTGTTAGCTGGGGAAATCAAGCTTTAAATGTGGACATTAAGCAAGCTATCTGAAACACATTTTGGGCTGTTACCTGTTAAATGTTTTGCTGTTCAACCAGTCTTGTGATCCGCTGTTCAACCAGTCTTGTGATCCATACATGCTTCCTGGACAGAACATAAAGCAGTGGTTGTCAACTTAAGAGCAGAGGGGGGATCTCAAATGGGGCCCCTGACATCATCAAAGAGCTGCACATAATGTTCTATATATGTAATGCTTGGGGAGGACTGTCAGAAAAGAAATAGAAGATGAGTCAGTGTAGACCTGCAGCATTTCCCAAGCCAGAAAAGCAGCATAAGATGTGAAAGTGGCAACATGTTACATGAAGCTAGTAGAGATCAATGCTATTACCCTGAACCAATGTTCCTACTATTAACTGCCAAGTGCCACACTTCATATATTGAAGGGCCACAGGTTAAACACCAGGGGCATCAAGGTTCTGGGCATTCCTGTATAACAAATTGCAGACACGCAATACTGCCTGGGCCAGCACTCGTTTGTTTGGAATGTGACATCCAGGGAACCATACAGATAGGTTGATCTCATGTGCTATGCCCTTCTGTAGTCATGTTTTCTGTAAGCAATGAACTTTGGTATTCTGGTTATCCAAAGTGTGGAGTAAGGCTGGCATGGTGGCACCTGGAAGTGCTTGTGGTTGGTTTAGCTGCCTTCAAAGGGGTGCGTTTTTTTTTTAATTTTTTTTATTTTTTTTGTGTGTTCTGGGACTGATTCACCAAGACTAAATTGGAGAAACGTTAACTGTACTGATCAATCAGATTTAGGTGGCTTCTCTTAATGGCCCTGGAAAATTTAAGGCATGAAATCCTGTATGGGCAACACAATCAATTTAATGACCATATTAACTTTTTTTTTTTTTTTTTTTTTTTTTTTTTTTTTTCCCTTCTGTGGTGGTCTAGCATTGTTTGCACAATTTACAGATCAAAAAACAGTTTTACTTGATCTGTTTACCAAACAGGAAGCATCTTGGATGTAACATGAAAGTGTTCTTGGTGTTTAGTCACTGGGGAAAGGGCAGAACTTGCATCAGCAAAAATTGTTTCATAATTCCATTACAGACCAAGTGAAAGTTTGTTTATTAAAATGAAGTGTGAATATGTAAAGAGGGACCATATGATTTCTGGGCCTGAGAATCTGTTCTCTCCAGGAATAGGCTGAGATCATATCAGTCTATTGTTTGTTTCTATTCTGACAATATTGATTGTGGTGGGTTTTTTTTTTTTTTTTTTTTTTTTTTTTTTTTTTTATATGAAAGTGGCTGTAGATGGATTGAATCATGGCCAGTTCAGCAGGGACCACCCGATCCATCTATGAGCAAAGCTGATTGTACCCAAGTCAATCAATCAACTTGGGTACAATCAGCTTTGCTCATAGATGGATGTGTTTACTGCCTGTGGCTATAACTGCTAGCAGTAATTGTGTTCTGCTTGCAGGAGGGATCTGCCATCAACTCTGACTGTGTTGAAGGGGGAATCGAGCAATTTTTTTTCTTTCCTTCCACCCATGGTGAATCAATGGCTTGCCTAAATATTGCCTTTTTTTCTTAAAAAAAAGTTTGGCCATATTACAGTAATAAACATTTGTTTGGATAGTGGTGGGAGCTTAGACCATAATAAAAACCTGACAGAGCTTCTGTGTCCCTGTTAGGGGAAAAAAAAAACACCCACTCTGCATTTGTTCTGATTCCCAATGTCACTGGGAAAGTGAGGGATGAATCCAAAATTTTTACGTGGAATAGTTGGGGACTCTAATGGGCACACTTGGCAGCAACTAAAGCTGGCCATACTCTGACTGAAATACAGCCAGTCTGGCAGGGAATTGGCTGACATTTAAGCTGTTGGTAGTCCTGTGGGCACCATCCAGCTATACCAAAGTTGATGAAAGAGAAAAAATCGAAGGGGGCAGGTGGAAAATTGTGGCTAGTAACTACACCAGACACTATTCTCAGGGCTGGCGGGCACCTGTTGGAGCACCAAATGTACTCCCTTTTTTTTTTTTTTTTTTTTTTTTTTTTTTTTTTTTTTTTTTTTTTTTTTTAGCATAAATGGGGGAATCTGTTGGTTTCTTTTGTTTAGCTCACAGGGCTGAATGAGAAAAATCTAAACCTGTATCGCTAGCCTTGGTCAGATGAAAATTTTGGTAACTTGGTGCTTTAGAATGTTATGCCTGGTGGCAGATTGACATGGTAATATTTTTTTGTTAAAATCTAAAATTTGTTTAGTACTAAAACTTTTTTTTTTCTTTGGAGAGAACCCCATAATTGTATATCACTTATCTTGCAGGATGCAATCAGAGATGTCCATGTTAAAGGATTTATGTACAAATGGATCATGTCAGATCTTGGTGAGTATCTGTTATGGTTTCTGATTCAAGCTTTGTCAATTGAGGACATATCAGATGTCTGGTTTTCATCCTAGAAAGAAGTTTCTCCCTGATATATTCTCCAGGCTGCTTCTGGCGTTTGGAGCTCTGTGCATGGTCAAGCTTGTTTAGGGGGATTGTATGTGTACTTCGAATGCTTCAAACAATAGACCCTTTTCAGAAGCATGTGAACATGACTTTTTATAATCCCTCTGAGGACTACACATCCCTGAGGCTTCACTTGCCTTCATCTAGTAAGGTCATCCCAGCTAACAAAGTTGCGTCTTTTTTTTCTGCATTCTTGAAAAGATGAATGCACACACCCAACCCTCGTCACTACACATGTCTGCTTTAGGCGATTTATTGTATTTTATTATTGGTGCAGGACGAGTACAGTGTGGTACTTTTGGCTTCTCACAGGATCACTCAAGTAGTTTTTCCACTTTTTCTTTGCAAATAGTACTAATCAAAATAACAGCATTCTATTTTGGTAGTTGCAGGTTGTTCATGTCAGTCTATGGTGCTGCTTTGCCATGTCTATGCGGACAAGTGAACTGGTGTATAAAATGCGTAGGTTAGGGCAAGGAAGCTGCATCTAATCGGCTTTACTGCAAAATGCAGTCACTGCCATAAAACAGAAAATCAGGGCAGAAGCCTGAGACTGACAATTTTCTTTTGGAGTTGACCAACGTCCGTCCTCGAGTACCCTCAACAGATTCTTTAAAGCAGAACTAAATCTAATGTTTGTAAAACTGAGAAGGCAGCTCTTTATTGCAGAAGAAACACTGGCTCTTCTGCCATAATACACAATTTTATCTCCTTGCTTGCAGTTTTTTTTTGATTGAGCTGCACATTTGAAGCTTGGTGCGGAGTTCATTCCCAGCACCCTCCAGCCATGCTGGAATGACTGACTCCCATGTGCATGCACAAGAGGACTTCATTCCCCTGCCAGACATTCAATTGGCCAAAAACCTGGCACCCAGTGGGAGGACAGTGGCTGGCAATGGGATGTAACCACTGCTTTGCTGGTTAGTCCTGCTTTTATGTCAATGGCTCAGCATTCAGGACTAGGATTTTATTAAAGGGACGTTCCAAAACATGACTCATTGACCAGTTCAGAACCACGGTTATATTTCTCCAACCACAACTCATTGGGTTACCTAGCTGAAAAGCTCCAGCACCTGAAAAGTTGAAGGTTTGGCCTAGAGCTTCATTGTTGGTTGCTGGTGGCCAGTTGATCTGCCTGCACCATGGCAACTCATGACATTGATCCAAGACAAATTGGGTCCCATGCTTGCTGCACCCAGGATGCCTCAGCACCCTGGTTGGGGGAAAAACACTGACTTGAGTGTATTAATTGCCACCGCTGCCTCAATCTCAGCCCTCTTTAGCTAAACTGCACTAACCTCCAAGCTGCTTCTCTGAAGCTCCAAAACATCCACCAGTGTTTTTAGCTCCTCCCGACTAAGTTCATTTCTTATTTACCACTGAAGAGCCAAAACATCCTCAAGTGTTTTACAGTCCTGACAAAATTCTCTTCAGCACTACCTGTTCAATGCACTATTGACCCTATTGACTTGAATGGCGCTATATATAAAGACTGCAGATCCTTGCTAAATGGCTCCATTTGTGTCATGGGCCCTTAATTGTGGCCAGTGCAAGGAAGATATTCACTACAACAAAATAAACACTACAGATTGCTGCAGCTCTGCGACTGAAGTTGGTAAGCAATTGGGCAGGAGGTGGCGTGGTAGTGTAGTTTTAAATTTGAAACGATTGGGTGTTGGGGCATGGGTTAGTAGTAGTTTGTATAAAGGTAGATTCCTACATTATCCCATATTGAACCCCACCCCTGTACTTTTTTGGCTTCCTTTCTATTTTACATCAGTATGTCTGGCTAAAGGGTTTCTCAATGATGGGAAAATCCTAAAGCACTGTAAGCTGACGACAGAAGGCTTGGTGTGGGAGATCTCAATTACTCTTTTCTCATGATTTCTCATAATGTTGCAGGTTTCTAATTTTAGTAGTGGAAAGTACCCTAAGATTTAGAAAATGCCCACACACTTTTTTCTAATACCTTATGAATTGTGCTTGCAAACTCTGATCTCCAATGTGTTGCTGTCTTCCTTAGAAAAATACATCCTACGTGGTGATGAGACCCATGCCGTTCTGCACCGTCTTGCCAGTCAAGGGAAGAAGCTTTTCCTCATCACCAACAGTCCTTTTAGTTTTGTGTAGGTTTGTTTTGTGTTTTTTTTTTTTTTTTTTTTTTTTTTTTTTTTTCCTCCACCAGGGCATGTTCTGAATCCAGGACGATGTGTTGATTATTTCAGCTAAGGCAGGTAGGGCCGTGGATAAGGGGACACCGCTAGTTGTCCTGTACCGGATGTGATGGGGGAGGAGGGGCATTTCTGGGACAGATCCCCCTGTATGGCTCTTCAGCAGCTGAAAGCTGGCTTCTTCACACCCTCCTGCTGGCTTTTAGCTGCTGCAGAGAGCCATACAGGGGATCAATTCCATCCCATCACCCTCCCTGTGCCCATAAGTGTCCATACCTCCACAGTGCTGCCAGCTTTCCTCCTCCTCTTCTCCTTTCCACTGGCAGCTGCAAGCACATAATAGGATACTTCCAGGTGGGGAAAGGGTCCAGCAAATGTCAATTTTACCAGCCCCTGAATAAACACAATTAGTGATTTGGTATTGATCACACACTGTTCATTCATAACTGAAGCTTGGCAAACTGTTTTTGGTTTTGTTTTTTGTGTTTGCCTTTCCTGCATGCAAGCCTTGGTACGCTTTATAAATGGGTTCTAAAACAAGGGAGGAAAAGTACAAAACTGCAAGAGGCATTATACAGATGGCAGCATAAACTGTTTGTACATAACCTCTTACCATCACATGTCTCTCCAGCACCTAGCAAGCATATGCAGTTGGAGCTCAGGACTGCTAGGGGGGGGGGGGGGGGGGGAAAGGAATGTGTGTGTGTGTGTGTGTGTGTGTGTGTGTGTGTGTGTGTGTGTCTTGTGTGTCGGGCTTTTGCAATGGTGGCATGCTTATTCTGCTCTCAGGAGGGGTTTGTCGGGAGTGTTCACCTTGTGCTAGTGCGTGGTCTCTGCTTTTGAAATATTTGTTTATATTGTGGGTAACGCATCCTCCACTATTGGGATTGTTCACATTCAGGGTGAATGCGTGTTCTTTGCGATAGCAGATGTTATGTTTGGGTTCAGAGGATGCATATCTTGCACCATTGGAAGTGTTTGTTTTTGGGGGAATGCATGTATTCCACCATCCAGGTATTTTTTGCTTTGACATTGGATAAGAAAATGGCTTGACAGGGCTTTCCTGATGGGAGTATAGCATGACAATAGTATTGACCAATTGTGATCTGTCTAACTTTTGCAGCTTTCTTTGCTATTTTGACTTGTGTTAACTTGTATTGTTGCTCAAATGCAGTGAAGATCCACTTTACATGCACCACAAACCAAAAACTTGATTTAATTAATATTCAAAGCAAACTCTTCCATCCACCCATAGTTCCATGCTTTATTTGAGAAATCACTTTGCAAATCGGGCCCTAGCATTTCTGGCCGTGGCCATCTTGCGTAAAGGGCAGTTGATTCTTGTAACATTTTACTTTCTGTAATCTTTTGCCCTTAGTTTAGGCATGCAGGCAGGAGAGTGCTTGGCTGAAAATAAACCATCCTCCCTGAAGACTCCTGGGAAATATGACCTAATTTTGCCTATGCAAGAAATCAAAGTAACTGAAGAAATGTAAAAAAAAAAAAGTTTAAAACAAATATATGCTTTCCTAGAAATTTACTAATGCTAGCAGATTGAGGATTACAAATAATCCATGTTGATTGGGAGAGTAGAGTTCCACATTAAGCATTATTTGGGGTTTGTAGATTAATTACAAAGGGGGTTATAGCCAGTAATATTTTTACTATAAAATGCATGAGATACTAAGGAAATGTTGCCACTTGATAACCTTTGCCTATAGTTAACTCTTGCTTGTAAAATGGCGTTTGTTTTTGCATAGCTTGCAATAAAAGATGAAAAACTGCGCCATAGTGCTCCCACTCTAATCCATCAATACTCAGTCTTGCAGCTTTTCCAACTCCCAGTAATAACACCAGAATGTCGTAATCTGTTATTGATCTTGTAATTCTTTCTTATAGAGACAAAGGGATGAAGTACATGGTGGGCAAGGACTGGAGGGACTTTTTTGATGTGGTAATCGTTCAAGCAGACAAACCTAATTTCTTCAATGATTGCATCAAGTGAGTATTTGGAAGACTGAATAATGGAATTTTATATTAAAAATGAGATAAATGGGATTTTGCATAACTTTTACCAAGAACCACATTTTTTTTTTATATTTCTGTGCCCCTTTCTCCTGTACATAATAGCTAGGATTGCTGTTTTTTCACTTCAGATTTAAAGAACTTTTCCTCTAAAAGGAAGTCTGCTTTTTGGCCCCTCCCTCTTGACACTCCCCCTTTATTTACTTTTTTTTCTTTGAAAAAAACCAGGTACCTGATCTCATCTGCCTGACTGAATATTTAAAAAAAAAAAAAAAACTGAATTCCCACTTTTTTTTTTTTTTTTTTTGGTATAATACCCTTGAGCAGGGGTTTCTAAACAAAGGGCTGGTTTACTGTCCTTTTTTAGACTTTAGGAGGGCCAGAGTGACCAGTGGAAGTAGTATGTCCCAGCGTCAGGAGTACAAAGACAGTGCTTTCAGTCGGTGGAAGGACTAGTGCCCCATTGGCCAGATAGGGCCGCATTCGGCCCACAGGCTGCAGTTTGGAGACCACTGCCCTAGAGAAATAAAGTCTTACATGATCCTGAGTTTACTTGCTGGTATTGCCTTTCTCTGGTTACTGTCTCATTTATGTAATGTGTCATCTGCCATGCTGTAAGTGGCCGTCTGGTTTTCTCTAATGTATTTACATCAGCCTGTTTGGAGAACTCTCATCAGCAGCCGGTCAGATTGCTTAAGCAGTATGAGGCATGCAGAATTGAACAGACCTGTGTCAGTGTAAATATTGAAACTGATTACTACACATTTTATGACTTGGCTTTATGAAGATGTGCTGTGGATTCCCTCCTCTACATGGAGGTTGTGCAATGTCAGCATTTGACGACATGGCTGTCCAGATAGATGCTTAGTAATCATTCAGATGAATAATGCCTGGCAATGGAATGGGTCTTTGACACGAGGGCGTCTTTCTGTAGTCCCTTAGCTGTTGCTCTGTGAGTCAATAGAAAATTATCACACTTCAGGCCGATCACACTAGAGATTAGTTGGTTTCCTGTTCATTCTGCACAGCTTGCGTCTGTAAAAAGGCTGCAATGCTACAACACAGGAATTTTATTTTTCAGCAGCTGATTCCTGTTTGGAAGTGGGATTATGATTTTCCTGTGTCTTTTTTTAAAAGCGGACGTCCTCAAAGCTAAATGGGAATGTTAAAGTGGCACTCTGGTTAAGCATGTTTTACTGCTTTGGGCATACTACAGAGTATAGTCAGGCAGGTGATCCCCACTATTTTTCCTGTCTCTGCTTTTGCAGCTTCATGTGCTGCCTGCCTTATTGGAAAATCAGCTTTATCACATCACTTATTGTCTAAGGAGCAGAGGTGACACCAGAAGCTGCAAAACTAAACATTAGTATAAATTAATGCAATGGCTGGTGTGAAGAATGCTCCATACACTTGTGGCCAATGGGAAGAATTAACCTCTTACAGATGGCTAAAAAGATCAATGGGAACTTATTGGAGAGGCAGAAATTGCTCAGGGATCAATGATCCCCTAACCTCCTGGAGGAACCTTAGAGTTCCATGGAACCCTGGTTGAGAAACCCTGCTTTAACCCTTTGCAAAGTGCACAGCGTTTTTGCCTTTAGTAAATCAGTTGTATTTTAAAAAGGTCATTTTTACTGGAGCTTAATTAAGTGAAGCTCTGATGACAAAGTGGAAGTATGGAGGTATCTCCCTGGGAATTTATAAGGCAAAAGAAGTGTACAAAAGTATGAAACCGTTTAATGTTAACAAATTTTTTTTGTTTTTATAAAAGAATCAAGAATTCAATAGTTGGACTACAATACAGTTCATAATTTTAAAAGTACATGACATGTACAATATGTATACAACCCGACAGTCTGTAGTACATCAACTGACAAGTGGGGTAACAGTCCACCTGAGCTTAAACAATGTTAGTATCCAGACCATTCCAATGCGTTTCAGAACTTGTTTCCTTCAGGGAATAAATATATCGGGTCTAAAATATAACTAAGCATAAAGTAAATACAAACCACATTGTACATAGTATCTAGTTACAAATGTGTGACAGGCTGGTCGGGTGGAGCCGCTGTGGATCCACACAATCTGTGCAGCCACACCACCCACACAGAGGAATGGGCACCCACGGGCGGGTGCCATTAGTTCTAATGGCATGCTGCCCGTACTGGGAACTGAGGTTCCCATGCGGGCTGTGTTTTTTCAGAAGTGCAGGGACTTCTTTCCCTACGGGGCACGGGAGTCTATTCAAATAAATGAGCTCGTGCCCGCACGGCCACATATGTGAACCAGGGCTAATTGACAAACTATCATAGAAAATTAGGTGAAGATGCTTTCCAAGTGATACACCTGGGAGAAGGAGGGCAGGAACACCCCAATGGACTGCACTACAGCACCCAGTGAGGGGATCTAAAAGATTTTAATGAGCCACATAAAGGGATCCAACAGTTGTTACACATGAGAATAATCTCATGTATGGGCTGGAGGCAAAAATTAACTGACTTCCTTCATCCAATCGCATGCAAGCAAAAATGCTGTGTTTTTTTTTTTTTTGTTTTTTTTCTGGGGGGGAGGGGGGGCTTGTTATATCCTTGCACATAATTGGGTATTCTTTGCAACAGTGAGACTTCATAACATTCACTAATGCAGGCCCTAGACGGGACGTTTATTGGCCGATAAACAAAAAATCGGTCGTTGCTGCCACCAATCCTTACGAAAAACAGCCGTTTTTTTTTGTAGGTTTTCCAGCATGACCGATAAAACCGCGAAAATTAGCCGACGACATTGCTCCACTAACAATGTGCATATCGGCCGATTTTTTTTTTTTTTTTTTTTTTTTTTTTTTTTTTTTTTTTTTTTTTTTTTTTTTTTTTTTTCCCCCCCCCCCCCCCCCCCCCCCTCAGTTTGGACGAAAATTCGGCTGATAAACGACCAGTCAACGGCCTGCATAAGCCCTGGGGCAAATTCCCTTGCAGTGTGGACAGCCCATTTGTGTTTAGTAAATATCTTCACTCCCCATCTTACAGACAAAAGGAGATAATTGTCCATCACAGGGACACAACCTGCAATAAAACAGGTGTTTTAACCTATTCAAGTGTTTTTGCTGCAGTTGGCCTTCAGGTAATTAGATAAGATTTGTAACACCACCTGACTAAAAGTGGTCGTAAAATGCATTTTTGAATTTAAAAACCAAAAATTAAAGTATAAAACCAGATTTAACAATCTTATGTTCTGTAGGCCTTTTCGCCGGGTGGCTGGCAATGGAGACTTGAAGTGGGATAGGATCTCCAAGCTGGAGAAGGGACAAGTCTACAAACAGGTATGGATATGAAAGGCAAATATCGGTCTTGAAGGATGGATGAAGTACAGAACTGTCTTACTATAGATCAGGTCACACCGGTGTTATAGGTATATTCAGAATGAGGATTTCAGCGTAGTGAGAAGCTCCTCCATGGTACTTTGCTTAACCACTTGCCTACAGGGTACTTGTACCCCCTTCCTGGCCAATTTTCAGCTTTCAGTGCTGTTGCACTTTGACAATTGTGCGGTCATGCAACAGTGTATCCATATAACATTTTTATCTTTTTTTTTTAACTGCTTTCTTTTGTTGTGTATTTAATCACCTTCTGGGTTTCTATTTTTTTGCTAAAACTGAATTTTGAAGAGATTTGCAAAATTTTATAGCGGAAACTAAAAAAAATGATTTTTCTCAACTGATGGGCACTGTTGGGTGACACTGACTGGCAGGTGGCACTGATGGGGCTACACTGATGATCAGTGTACATGTCCCCTCTGAGTAATACCAATTTATTTATTTTTTTATTTTTTTATTTTTTTTTTTAATATGGGAGGTGGTTAAAGGTGCCACTTTTACAATTTGTTTAAAAAAAGTCTGTCTGGCTGAACAAGGCCTGGAGGGCCACTTTTTAAATTCTCATAACAAACAGCAGTGTCACTGACAAACCAGTCTTTCCACCAAAAGTAATGCATCTAATTTACTTCTGAAAACCACATTTCCTACCTATTCTACATAATAAAATAAGATGTATGCTAAAAATATATTAAATTTTCTATAGTAAATCTACAGAATATAAATATTTTGTATTTTCAGCCAGCAGGTGGAGCTAATGGCTCCTTTTCAGATATTTACTGGTCTCTTCTTAGCTGCATTCCTGAAAAGAACCTATTGAGATAAATGACTTGCACTGAAACTTTCAGACACCTACATGACAAGAGTTAAGCTGGCCATACATGGTTCTAGTCTCTGCCAGTTTAGCCTTCAATCCGCTTTGGTTCAACCAGCCTACATTCAATTATTGCCAGTGGCTCTAGCTGCTTGCAGTAATTTGTGTTCCAGCAGCTGCTGCACACAGGTTTTTACCTTCATGCAAAGTGTTCCTGTTAGAGTAATAAACTCTAATTGGACTGTTTTGCAGGTTAAATGATTGGTGGCATTAACTGGCACACAAGTGCGAACAGCCGCATTAGCAGTGCTGGTATAGCAGTTGAGTAGAGTGTCAGCTCTTTTGGCAGCGGTCTGTGTGCAGAGGCTTAGGGGGAGCCGTGCTTCCTGGCTTCTGACAGCTCCTCTTCACGTTATCCTCACCCGCTATGAGAGGCTCATCTGTGCATACGTGGCTCTGCTGCTGTACGTCCTGGAACTCTGCACTATATTACAGGATGTCTTCTGGGGAGACTTGGCAACTGGCCAGCCCAGCAAAACAATCTCTGGTGTTTTGTACAGTGAATAGTCTGCTTCCTACAGACATTTAACAATTGGGGAAACCATTTTTGGGTTAAATTTAGGCATCTTGGGAAGCTTTCGATTAAATTTATTTCCTCCCCAGAAATACCATCTAGATATGGCACTGTTTGAATTAGCTGCAGTTAATGGAGTTCTAGGAGGTTAGGGACTAAAAAATCGGCTTGTAATATGAGATAGATGCTGTATACAAATAAAGTATTAGAATGCATTTTGTGTGGGGGAAAGGTGCTGACAGACTTCTGTAATCCAGTCTGCCTTTCCTGGCAATCCTGCTTTGGAAGTGATCCCAAGTCCACAAACGCTGGAAGTTGTCCATAGGAGAGGCTGTTACTCCAAATGTCCAACAGTTCTCATCTGACTCAGCTTAGAGGCTCTGATTTTATGGTCTATAGAGCATATGCTTTATCTTTCTGCTATAAAAAAACCCCAAAAAACTGCAGTGTATTGGGAACTAGACTTTCTATTTATTACTGCCATTTTATATAGTGCAGACAGCTAACGCAGAGCTTTATATACTGTACATGCACATCGGCCCTGCCCCCAGGAGTTCAGTCCAATCTCGTGTGTGTGTGTGTGTGTGTGTGTGTGTGTTGCACATTGAATGACAGTTGCACAGTGATGCAATATTGTACCCATATGAATTTTTTTTTTCATGCAAATGGCTTTCTTTTGGTGTTTAATCGCAGCTGGGTGTTTTTTGCACTCTGAACATTAAATTTTGCAAACTGGTAATTTTTCGTCACTGATGTGCATTGATGAGGCTGCACTGGTGGATGGCACTGCTGGGTACTGGTGAGTGGCACTGATCACCTGTGCCCTGATGATCGGTGCTGATCTGTTCTGACAATCACCAGTTATCGGCAGTACTTTCCTCACGCTGTGACAATGTGAGGAAAGTGCAGCTGATAACTGGCAACTGTATTTACCTGGTCTGCAGTGTCATTGGACACAGCTGATCACATGGTAAAAGGCCACTGTGATTGGCCTTTTACCACATGTGATCAGCTATGTCCGACACAACTATCATGGAGATCGTTGGGGAGAGCTTTCTGGAAGGACGTCATGATGCCCTCTCAGGACTGGCTAACCATGCTGTAGCCATCATTGGGCGATGGCGTGGTTGCCAAGTGGTTCACCTTTGGAACATATTACATGTGCCACCCATTTTTAGGGTGGGACATGTTCCTTCCCATAGCCATGTTGCCTGCTGCCCTCCCCCAATAGTACAGGGAGAAGTTTCCCCATACGATCTGTCAGATTTGAAAACGGCCTCGTATGGCCGCATCACTCATTCAGAGTCCCTTCACCCTTAGTTAATTGAAAACTACAATCCCACATCCACTATCATGGTGCTGTGGAGCGCCATGGTAGTTGAGTGAAGCTTCCTGTCAGAATATCTGCTTGGCTATACATCCCATACGGCAAGCAGATATTCTGACAAGTCTGCAGGAGACCTGCATGGCATCAGCAATCTGATTGCTGGTGCAATGCTTTCCAGGCTCCCTTGGACAAAAAAAGTGCATTTATTAAACTGCAGAAAAAGGAGCATTTATTTTTGTCCAAAAGGTGAACTTATCCTTCAGCACAGACACTAAAAGCCCACAAAGCTTAAGGGGAAAGTGCAGTACAAGAACATTTCCCAGTGTCTCTTAAATCCCAACTCTGGGAATTAAAAAAAAAAAAAAAAAAAAAAAAAAAAAAATCTACTTTTGCAGTGGGGCCCTCCTGCACTGCAAGGGTGTACATTGTTGATGTTAGGGGATGAGGAATAATGTGTAATACTACTTGCTCCAGCAGGCTCTCTCAATATGTGACCATCTCTCCAAGCCTTTTCTATAGGGCGCTGGTTGCACAATGACATCATCAAATAGCCCTGCATTGTATGTGAAGGTGGCATTCCACAAGCCAGATCCTCCCCTAGCATTAATGAACATTTAACTCCTGCAATGTGGAGGTGGAGCCCTACTAAAAAAATTTAAACTCTTTAAAAATGTTCCAAGTATAGGAAAATACCCGATGATCCTATTTGAGCTGACAATGCTGCCTCTGCTGCAGTGAAGTCCCAAACTGTCGGCTATGCCTGAGTTGGGGGGCCCCCCCCCTGTTGGACTACCGAACTCTTCCCTCTTTATCTCTACAGAACAGCTCCCCCTTTTGGTGCAGTCATGCAGGTGACAACTTTGTGCTGACAACACTGCTTGGATTTTCAGTGGATTAGCATTTGTCACTGGATTTCTGGCAGGATCAGCAGTAATCTCCTGTACGATGTTTCAAGAAAACAAGTGAAATATTTTTGTAGTGGCAAGATGTACTGAATACCTTTTTTATTCAGTACATTAAACTCCTCCTGCCCAGCCCCGGCATCCCTTTTTAACAGGGTCTCTTCAGCTTGGGGGGGCAGGAAGGACTGCTCTATCAAGTATCCACTGTTTGGCTGTCACAGTAGTCGCATGATCGAGAGCCGATTCCAGGTCCTTTGTAAAGACAGAGCTGTCATTGACAGCTCGTTTGCTGTGCTTTTGAGTACACTTTCAGCACATTAAGCTTGGCCGCCCATGGACACATATGTATGGCATGTGGAAGGGAAAGCGCACCCTCCTTGCCGCAACACGTGATATGTAGCAGCAAAGGGTTAACTTTTGACAGTGCTGAGCTGTCCTTATGTATTTGGGTGTGTATGGGGCCCTGTTAAGCCCTCTTGTTGTTGCTGACATGCTTGATGTCTTTGGTATTTTTCATGCGGCTCAGGAACATTCCCCACTCCTTCTTTGTCCTTAAACAGAGCCATGTCTAGTGTTCTTAGAAGGGCCAAGTTTACTTTCCATCTGAAGAGTGGTTGAGTGATTTGTCTGACAATTCTAGATGTATATGCAGATGCCTTTAGCATTGGCACGGAAGACAAATGGGGGGGGGGGGGGGGCGGTCATGCTGGCTTTGTCCCCACTCTTTTCGTGTTTCCCACCGCTGAGCATGCAGGCTACGTGATTCCTATAGAAGCCCGAGGAACAAAAGGCTTGTTTAAACTGCCCTTAGCTTGTGTGTCCAATGACAACCCAGTGCCCAGTTTTCCAATTCATCACTTTGCTGAGGTTGGCAGGGAATCTAGTCGCTGCATAATCAAATCTGTATACTAGGGGGTTAATGGTGCTTCCATGCATGTCTATGAACACGTATGTCCTGTTTGTACAAGATGGGTCTCCAAAACAGCAAACGGTGAGTGTTGGAGACTTTGCAGTCAAACTATGAATAATGTTCTTTGAGTCCAGGTTCTGGCACAGTCTAAAAACATTGTGTTTTGGCAGGCTGTCTGATAACTACTAATTTTAGGACTTCCTTCCCATACTTCATGCAAGCCTTTAATGTTGAGAGGATATCTATTTGTAGGAAACGTACCTATTCCAAGACAATAAGGGTAATGTTTCTGAAGTGGTGAGGCCAGATCAGTATTTTTAAGGATTCTGTGTGGCCAGATCAGATATCGAAAGCAAATCGTACATATTGGGGGCATATCATAGATGGCTGTACAAAAAAGGAAACGGAGGAAACCTGTGGATTTGTTTCCCCTAATTCTACTTTCCCTAATTACAGCCTTTTACTTGAAGTGATTTCTAAAGCCTAATTGTTTTTTACCGTAATGTATTCCTTGCATTAAGGTAAATGTTTGGCCATTGTATTGGCCCCACAACTCCAAACCCCCCTATACTTACCAGAGCCCTAATTTGATCCAGCACTGCAGGCCTGCCGCTCTTCTCTCCCCTCACTTCAAGATCTCACCAGCTTTGCTGAGGCACAGAGATCAGTTGACAGCAGACTTTGGCTTTTTTTTTTTTTCTTAGCTTCAGTTGCTTCCTGGTTTCCATGCCTAGGCAAATTATGTCATTCCAGGAGTCTTCTGGCAAGAGAGCAGGGGTTTTTCTCAGCTGAGCACACCTGCCTACATGCCTGAACTAAGGACAGATGGATTCCAGGAAGCAAATTCTACATAAATCTTCCCTTACTAAAGATGGCCACGATCAGAAATGCAAGGAGCTGTCTTTCATATGATTTCTTACCAAAATAAAGCATGCATGGATGTTGGGGGAGTTTACCTTGAACATTAATAATGAATTGAATATGGTTTTTGGTTTCTGGTGCTCGGGTGCAGGTTAGTTCCGCTTAAAGAAACACCTCACGTTAGGTGCCAGTTGTACTTAAATTGTCAATGGAGTTGGCCCTGAGAATTCTGCTGGCTCCTGAATTCCATATTGGTTTGTCCACCTATGATTTTAAAGCAACACTTTATTGAATTCTCACTATAACTCTTAAGACAGGTGATATGATGGTCCCTAGAGATGCCAACACATACCTTCAGAGATCTCTGGCTTTCAGGGCTCCCAAAAAAACTCTGCAAACATTTGGTAATGTGCCAGCTTTCAGCTAGGTCTGCTCTTTGATCTGTCCTTGCGCCTTCCTTCAATGTACTGAACAAAGTTGGCTTCTACTTAATGGAGTGTCCATCTTTCACGGATTTTGGTGGGGCTCTCAAAGGCGTGTGGAGAGGCCTCTGGGTTCCTGTCTCGACAATGTGCCAACAGTTTATGTTCTTTGAGTTCTTCAACTTTCAAGTCTCACAAGTAGGAGCTGCGTCCTGGTAGTTGCAAGGCATAGCTTTGGCCCGAGTCGTAGTGTTTGGTGTCTTGTTCTTTTAGTATCCTGTGTTGTCCACTGTGGATGGGTGAATGGTAGTGGAGGTGGGGTAGACTTGCAAATCATTTTTTATTGTGTATTACATCGTTTTGAGTTGTATTAATAGAATTTTGCCTGTTTTGGGCACATTATCAACCTCCTGAATAAGGCCATCTCTCTAGTGGACCAGTTTGTAAAGCATTGGCACAAGTACACACCCCCTTCCCCCAAGTTCTTTCAGTGGAAGTGCAGATGGAAACCTAGGTGATTCTCTCTTCCAGCATAGGGAGAAAAAAAAGGGATGTCACTCCTTCCGATATTCTGCTACTTTGGCCTATTTGCATATGCGTAGGGGTAAGAGTTCCCCGAAAAAAGTTTCATATGGGACCATGCACCTTATCAAAGGTTTTATTAGAAACAACAAATGTGCATTGCACAAATATATACACACTGAAGCTGAGAACACTACCGTCAATACACCACCATCAATTCGCCAAATTAAAAAGACATTGTCTAGTCTCCTATGCAGCTGCTCATACATCCTCAAACATACTCAGGGGGTGGGAAGAGCTACAGGTACACTATGGTAACACATAGGGTAAATGGACCAATATAGTAGGTATGGGAGTATAAATGGTATCCTATGTGAAAGAGGTAGGGGTTGAATCAAAGCCCGCTTGTCCTTACGGGACACATCTACCCAGATTGCTAGTTATATAGCACCATCTGCTCCTCAAGCCTACAATACCATAGTGGCTAAGTTGCATGCAATACATATGCATAGGTAATCGACTTCTCACCAACTCTGTAGTGTTCACCGAGCTTAATTCCAGCAAGTTGATTAGCCTCAGGACATGGCGTATGGCGTCAAGGTGCGTATCAGCGGTAGTTGAAGTGCAGTCCTGCCTATTGTAAGTATATAGCTGGGTGTGCTGATTGCCTAGACCTGTGATGGAGGACACTGGACTACCACAGAACACTGGTCACACACAGGGCGTGCGTGGGGAGGTGCAGTCCAACATGTTTCGCCCAATAGACCTACTTACTAGATCCCCAGCTATTGCAGAGATGGTAGGCACTTGCCCACAACTGGTAGCACAATGCGCAAACAAACTTACGAGAGATGCTAGTTATCTCAGAATTCTGTAAACTATTTAATACCTGGCTTATGAGAACCCCTTCCTAAAAAGGCATGTTTGCCTGTGGTCTCTGTCAAATTTGTAAATTTTGTGATACGATGGATGTGTTCGCCAATTGGGGATCAATCAAAACAATATAAGATCCAGGATTTTGTAAACTGGTCTATATGCTTGAATGCCCCTGTAAAAAGTATTATGCATTCGAAGCGGTGGCTTGGTCTACCCAATATATTGGCGAACACATCCGCAGTATCAAAAATATCAAGAGTTAAAATAGAGATGAAGATAGCCCTATAGCGATGCACTTCGATTAATGGAAATCAAGAAGGCCTGAAGGTAAAGGTTCTGCTTCACCTCTCAGATGTGTGGACTTCAATACAGTCCTTCTGCAGAAAGGGAAATAATGTGGGTTTTGTGACTAGACCATTTCTTTTAATTTGAAGTGATGGTGGTGTGCTACTGTCTGTGTATACTTGTACAATGCAATTTTTTTTTTTTTTCCCCTAATAAAGCCTTTTTTGATAAAGCTGCATGGTCCCATATGAAACTATCTTTTAGGGGAACTCTTACCCCTACGCATATGTATATAGATTTTGTTTTGGTGACCACACCCATCTATTTTTTTGCTCTTTGGGTGAGTCAGCAATCATATGGTGGTAGTCTATTATCTATACAGGGTCATTACAATTCCCTTTTTAAAAAAAAAAAAAAAAGTGGTAAAGTTAAAATGCATTTATACTCCAGGAAAAAAAAAGTTCTTGAATGATCTAAAACCGAACATCCCCCTTTAACATATTGCAACTTTTTTTTTTTTCTCTCTTTTCCAGGGAAACCTATTTGATTTTCTTCGTTTGACTGGCTGGAGAGGTTCTAAGGTGTTGTATTTTGGGGACCACCTATATAGTGACCTTGCAGTAAGTGTCTCCTCTTCTGTGTTTATCGTCTATTCCTTCCTGTATATCTCGTGGTAACCCTCCTGCACGTTTCCCCCCCCCCCCCCCCCAAGGATCTGATGTTGCGTCATGGCTGGAGGACAGCAGCCATTGTACCGGAGTTGGAGACCGAAACCAAAATTGTCAACACTGAGCAATATTCCCAGTCTCTAACATGGATGCAGGCCCTGACTGGTCTGCTGGAGCGTATGCAGGTAGGCACATACATTGCTACAAAATATATAGATCTTGGGGGCGTTGGAGGGATTTCCCTTCCAAGACACCTAATGGGAAGGAGGAAGAAATCTATGCAAAATAAAGGGTAACAGATTTCACTAAACCCCCCCTAAAAGGATTGACTAAACTTTGGGTGTTTTTTGGCGTACTCTGAAATCTTCTATTTACATTTAAAAAAATTTTTTAAATGCCAACAAAACATTCCATATTCTTATGTGCCTACTGTACCATGTTTGTATGAAATGGAACCCTATTGCATTGCTTCCTTTTGAAATCCCTGGTGTTTGTCAGTACCTCTGCTTTCCTATTAAAAACTGACCACACTAGGCATGATCAGTTTCTAGCTGTGCCGAGGACTCCGCCTGTTCTTGAATGATCAGACTTGTCCCGACATGTCCCCACATGCACAGCCATTCACTAGGAAGACCAGTGTTGCGTTTTTTTTCTTTTTTGTGGTTTTTTTTTTTTTTTTTTTTTTTTTTCCTCCCCCAGCTCTGTGCTCCTTAGGCAGCAAGAGAAGAGGCTGTCACTTAAAGGGAAAGGTATTTTTATAGTGTGTTTTTTATGTACTCATTCTTTTGCCTTTCACTTTTCATTTTAAACTGAATGGGTTGTTTTACAAAGTAAGCGTTAACATAGATTTTAAAGCCTGACTTCTCCTTTGCACCATGTTACTCCCCTAATATGGGTGAAAAAGGTGATGTGATCACCAGGCTCATAATCCATGGACTTTTTTTTTTTTTTTTTTTTTTTTTTTCCCCCCCCTAAGACCAATTTTGAGAACTTAATTTTTGCTATAAATCATAACAGATTTTTTTAAAAAAAATTCTTCATAAATTTAGGCCAAAATGTATTCTACTACATGTCTTGCTAAAAGAAAATCCCAATATATGTAAGTTGTGGGAACTGACTCACTCCCATTTGTAGACTATAGTAGTATCTAACCCAAAGTGTCAGAATACAAACTGCCACTCACATCCCAATGACATAAGTCAGTGCTAATAAAAAGCACTGACTCTGTACCAATGACACTGGCCAGGAAGGGGTTAAAATCTGGGGCGATCAAAGGGTATAACTTAAACATTGTGCTGTGTTACTAGGTAGACATGCTGCTTTGTATCTCTGCTGTGCAGAGAACTACAAAGCAGCATTTTCTTGTTGGCAGGAGAGAGACCTGTTTACACACACTGCTTTCCCTGGCTATTGCTGGGTGCTAGTGGGCAATTTCCAGCTGGGACCCGGTGATTGACAACCCTTGCTACCAATGGCGTCTCAGGGTGGCGCATGCCCCCTACCCAGAAATCCAAATCGTGTGGGGTTGTGTGGTTTTTTTTTTTTTTTTTTTTTTTTCCCCAGAACTGGATGATCTGATCTATTTGCTAAAGAGAGAATACATACAATTTGTAGCCTTATTTAAGCAAGTTGTTTTTGTTTATCAAATATACATACTAATGAAAAGACAAGAGCAGGTCGGCGGTTGGTTGTTACCCATGACCCTTTCATAGGGCACAAAATTGCACATCTGTTGCTCAACTCCTGTTCTCTTCTGGATTCGGTTGAGCGGTGTGATGTAATGACATCTGTTGTATCTCTTCCTCTTCTGATGTTTTGTCGAGTTGTTGTTTGTAGAAAATTGTTCAACTAAATGTCTTCTGTGTATGTCAAGGCCATAAATTTTGTCTTGTAGTCCATCAGTGTTGACTTGTAAAGTCAACTTATCAGCAGTAGATAAGATTTTTTTTTTTTTTTTTTTTTTTTTTTTTTTTTTTTTTTTTTTTTTTTTGTTTGCTGGCTTCCTTCCCTGGGAGATGCAAGTTGTATCTGTTTATGGGCTGTCAAATCTTATGACCTCTCACTAAGTATTTTATTCTGTTACAGAATTTCCGGGATCCGGAGTCGCAGCAGATTCTACAAGACTGGATGAGGGAAAGACAAGAGCTCAGGTACTTGCCTATTATTCCTCTGGGAGTTCTGTGTGGCTGATCCCAGTGTGCTTGTACTCCCAATATGCACACATGACTCCCTCTTTGTATACTTCTACCTCTCCTGTCATCAGCAATTCTATATCCAGCAAGTAGGTGCTACTTTAACACTGTCATACTGACTCTCTGGCTACACCTTTGAAGTCATTATCCATGTAGTTTTGTCAGGTTAGGGACTCTGTTACTCTGACTTTTGAATCTGCATGCTTGTTTCAAGCTAGATCCTCAAAGTACTGAAGCCAGCAACTTGGAAAAGGAGGCAGCGTGCCCATGTAGATTTTCCTGACCAGTTCAGTATGGACAGATTTACTTGTGTGGTGATTCTGAGTTGCTTTTCAGAGGCATGTTCTTAGTTAGCTGGATGGCCTTAAGTAGAAATAAAATCTCCGTTTTAGAAAAAAATGAGCAGGCAAGCTTTGCAGAAGAGACCTTACATGGCTCTTCAGTCAATCCTTCTTCTTACCTGCTCAGTCTTAGAATGTAAACCAAGCTGTGCATGCGCAGCTCACTTTACATTCCTGCACAGCCCAAGTGTGATGGGATGACTGAACTCCTTTGTGGAAGAGTAATGTCATACTGCACCAGCAAATGAAGACACAGCCTGCCACCTGCAGAAAGCCTGGTTGAAGATGCCCTGTGAGGGACCTTTAACCATTGAAGGAGTGAGGAAAGTATAGAAGATTCCTAAATGGAGCAATTTAATATATCATAGATTTTCAAACTGTCATTTTATGGTATCAAAGTAGAGCTAAACTGAAAAATGCTACCCACCTCATTCTAGTAAAGCAGTGGTTAAATCCCTTGCAGGCTGTCACCTTTTCATCATTTTCCAGGTGCTAGGTTTTTCGGCCTGTTAGTTGGCTGTTGGCGGAATGACATCATCCCACACGTGCACAGGAGTCATTCTGGCACAGCCAGAGTGTGCCGGGAATGCACACTGAGCTACGCATGGCCAGCTCGATGTGCATTCAATAGACTGCAAGCAGGCAGGTAAGAGTTATTGCATTTCTGTTATCCAATAATGGACTGCCTGCTGACTTTTTTTTTTTGCCTTTTTTTAGTTCTTTAATAACCAAAGCCTGAAGGTTCCCAATAGAATTCCAGCTGTCATCCTTTCAGATAGTCGATGCTGTTGTAGTCTTTGGAAAAAGTTACAGTTCCACGAATGGGGAGTTTGGGAACATGTTACAATACTCCACATTGTTCTAAAGGTGAACTTATCCTTAAACAAAAAAAAAAAAACCCACGTGGAACATGGGAACTGTTCTGTATGTTTTCAACATGTTCCCATAGCTGCAATTGCACCCCCTCCCTCTGAATGGGGAAACTTCTCCCCATGCTGTCAGATTTGAAAACTGGGTGGCCGTACAGGGCTCCGCCCACACAACCACATCACTCAGTTCATTGAAAATACAAGCCGACAGCCGCTAAGGCTGCTGGGACTTGTAGTCACTCACAGAACGAACACATTGCTGTGGAGTGCCGTGATAGTTCATGGAAGCTTCCTGTCCGTATATCTGCTTACTCTTACATCCGATACAGCAAGCAGATATACTGCTGAGAGGTCTGCAGGATCCTGGAAAGAACTGCACCAGCAATCTGACAAAAAAAGTAAATGCACATTTTTTGCAGAAGAAAAAAAAAAGGCGCATTAATTTTGTCTAAGGTGAACTTATCCTTTAAAGGCCTCGGTCACATAGGTGTACTACAGCGTTTGTGTTTGAGGACTGTGCTTACCTGCCCAGGGATGCACATGTGTTCCATGCATTCCTGCGCCGGTATGTCAATTGGGATGTAGCGACTGCATGAACACAGTTGCTAATCCCCAATTTGACATCCATCTGGGTGCACTGTCCTGAATACATAGTCATGTTAAGGTTTGCGCACCAACACAGATGTCAAGTTGGGAGCAGTGGCTGCCAGTGCAGCTATGTCCAATTGACCTGAATGAGACTGTCTAGAGATGTGGGTAATCATGGTCCTCACACTGGTGTATGCTGTAGCATGGCAGTGTGAACAAGGCCTAACAGTATGCTCTATTTTTTTTTTTTTTTTTTTTCTTGGTAAGTTAAAGTGGAACCAATATTATTATTTTTTTTTTTTTTCTTTTAGGGCAGTGACCAAGAACCTCTTCAACCCTCAATTTGGTAGTATTTTCCGCACCTGCCACAACCCTACCTACTTCTCTCCCGCCGCCTCTGCCGTTTCTCTGATATCTACATGGCCTCTGTCAGCTGCCTCCTGAACTACGACTTGAGCTATACCTTCTTCCCCCGCCGCACCCCACTGCAGCACGAGGCACCTTTGTGGATGGACCAGCTCTGCACCGGATGCATGAAAACTCCATTCCTGGAAGAAATGGCCCACATCCGCTAAACAAGCACAGGGCCTTTGTAATCTAGACTTGGGACCTAGACATAAGACTTGATGATTTTTAAAAAAAAAAAAAAAAAAATTTTTCTTTTCGGTTTTCTTTTTTTTTTTTTTTTTTTTTTTTTTAAAACCAGTGCTGCTTGCACATTGGAGAGTGCAGTGTTTTCCAGGCCAGGTGTGGGACGGTTAAAACCATCTGTGCTTGTATAAATAAGCTGGGTAACAGGGTGTACTAAAAACTAAGAAGCTTTTTGAAGATCTTCCCCTGTCCATTAAGGCCCTGGACTCATTCAGCTGGCTTACAGTGGACAGATTTAAGACTGGAACAATTGTTCAAAGTGAATTTCATACAATATCAGTGTGTTCAGCCTTCCTTGTTCTGGGGCTGAGGAACAGTGCGGACTGATAGTTGCTACTTAAATGACACTCTTGGCTTTGCACCCGCTGGGGAATGAGCAGCTTGACATGCCAGAATGTGTGAAATATTTGGAACTTAACCATCTGTTGGCAAACCTCTTTTGCTTTTTACACCAACTTGGGCTTCTCACAAGGAGTTCATATGACCAAGCTGCATAACTAGAGAAGTACTAAGCTGCTACCTATTTGAGTTACATGATGATGGCATTGTTCAGTATTGTCTGCAATATACCATACCAGTGTACTGACTTGTAATCCTCGTTAAATTCAGTGAGCCACGATGCCAAAATTGCTTACGATATCTTATTTTTTTGTAACATTGGTGTTGTCAGTGGAAGCACGTTACCTGGCCCTACTGGTTAATCAAAAAACATGGTGGCTTTTATTGCTGATTTGTCATTCTGTAGATGCTAGTTGCAGTCTTACAGTTCATGTTCTTAAAGCTGCCACAGGCTGAGTAGAAAATCCTGTCCTCTGCCAGCATGCTATAGAAAAGGACCCTTGCTCTGTGTGGATGCTGTGGTCTCTGCAGAGGTCCCTGTAAGTTGATCTTTCTAGCCAGCATGTAACGTGAGCTTTGTGGATTGCAGGGCTATGGCTCTGCCTTGGCAAGGGTGTGTAAGATGGCTGCAGAGGAACCATTGGAAGCGGTGGCCTTTCTGGAGAGGTTCAACACACATGCCCATGTCCCTATAAGTTGCGCTTTCCAGCTAGCATGTAGCAGGAGCTGATTGCAGCTATCTAACACAACCCTGCCAAGTCAGATCCATAGCCCTACAGAAAAACCACTGCTTTTGCCACAGAGGATCCTGGCAGGGGTCAGGCTTTTCTACTTGGGCTATGCTGCTTTCTAAAGCTTGGTTCATACCTGCAAGTGCAACTGAGTGCAGCCCAATCCTTTTAATTTGCTGCTGTACTTGTGAGAAATGTGGAAAGGTCCCTGACTGACTTTTACAAAACCCCGTTGCACCAAACTGCATGGTGCTGCGCCCATTTTCAGATGTTTGGGGGTACTAATTAATGGCACCACCACACATCTGCTAAAGGGCAGCATGATTTTGCACACCTTTCCAACATCTGAACCTAGCCTAAAGAAAAACTTTGCACACCTTTTTTGTTTTGATACACCTGGAATCTTTGTATTTTTAAAACTTTCAGTTAAAATGTAGCTAACCAGGCAGCTAGGTTTTTCAGAAGAGGGTTGGCATTGACACCCCATATTTTTTAATCAGTTTGTCACCAAAAAAAAATTCTTGTAAAGGGCTTGTAAATTAATTTTTTGTCTCTGCAGCATGTGGTGAAGTTGATTCTTGTGGTATTCAAATGCTACAGTCCCCTGTGAGTGTTTGACACTCCTGGAAGTGTCAACTGCTAAACTCCTGCATCCTCCACCCTATGGCTATGGTTTAGTCTGCTAGTCCTACTTCAATACCATGTCCTATAATGATGTAGGGACTGGCCAGAGGAACCATTAGGCATGGCAGGGGGACCAGGCATCTGACATACCTGGAAGATCTTTGTGCCATGTGAAGATTCTGCTTTAGTGCGCAACAAAATTTCAACTTGCCAGCTGCTAGATGCAGACCTATATTCCAAGGCTTCTTTTGACTCACTCTAACTTTTGAAAGTGGACCTGTAATTTGACAGATCAGAAACTGCAATTTGGTATAGGCTATGAAAATCTCTGAAATCTTGTGCCAAAGCTTTTTCTTGGCCATTTGTTTTTTCTTTCATAGAAGCAGTTGGGGCAACTCTTGGCTGATAATTTAGCCCACAGGGTCACTCCTCTCCAACCAATTCAGTGAATAAAAATCCTGATGTCCGAGGGGAATAAAGGCCAAGTAGTGGGAAGAAAATTGCTTGGGATAGATGAGGAAGATGAGACTATTGTGATAGACATGTTTGAAAAAGGGGCACCACATTGGATTCTTACCCAATACCTTTTTGTTTCTATGGAATATGTGGCTTGGACCATAAATGATTTGCATTTTGGCTTCCAGATTCTCCTTGACTGACGTGGTTCATTGTGGCAAAATAAAGTTGACTTTTCATCATGTATACTCGTAAATCGGCCATATTCACCAGTGCATGGTGCAGTCTACTAATCCAAACCTGCTTTTGTATGACATAAGGGAGAACAAAAAATGTCTAATCTCTGATGGTTTTAGGGGTGATTTTAAGGGTGAAAAATTACGCACAAATTTTTTTTTTTTCTCTTTGATTTTTGTAAGCATTTGTTCTCAGGTGAGGCAGGGAGACAGGTATAAGGATGATTTTGGAGCTTTTGTATTTTGGAAGGGCTAATGGAAGTGAATTAAAGAAGTCCAAATCACTCACAACCCACAAACAAACTCTGAGTGATTTGGAGTATCTGATATGAAGATGCAGTTGATTCTAAAACCTTGCTGTGAAGGTCCACCATTGAAGTATCATCTCTTCCCTTCTCTGCTTTTGCTGGGTCTCGAAGTATTAGCTTCACCCATCATAAGCTGCTTTTCTTGAGTCAATACTGGAACAGGATCGGCAAGATTGGGATACTGTGGTGGAAGCTCACAGGCAGTCTTGATGGTTGGGTGCATATTCACGCAGCACTACTTTGCATCCAAAACTGAAAAGTTTGACTGGATTTGTTGTTGAATTATGAATTTCAATTGTCTCAGTTAAGTGCAACAAATGAACCTTTTTCCCGGGTTACTGAACTTGCATTCTTGCTAAAGTTCAGCAATCTAGTTCTGGGTAAGGGGAGAAGGTTTGAGATGTGAAGTTTAATCCCTTGCAAAGCAAACTGCAGGGTATAGATCTGTTGATGGGTACCTGCCTTATTTTACTGTCCAGTTTTTTTTAGGTTTTTATATGTACTGACGTCTCTGAATGTTTCCTTATGTACATGAAATGGCAACCATTATGCTTTTACTTATCTGTTCAATTGTGATTTGTAAAAAAAAAAAACCTGTACAGAGGAACTGTCAATAAACCTTCATCAAATTGACTTTGTATCTTCTGGAAAATCTTGTACATTCAGAAACCGCACAGGTCATATCTGAGCCAAAACCACACTGATTAGCATGGGAATGTAATAGGAGGGAGCTCGGCAAGAACAAAATGTTTTTTGGCTGGTGGTGGTGTTGCTGGGTTAGAGGTGCTTTTCTTCCCAGGATCTGGAGCACTGGAGTGAGTGTTTTTTGTTTTTTTTTTTTTTTTTTTTTTTTTTTTTTTTTTTTTTTTTTTTTTTTTTCCCCCCCTCTGAATTTAATATAAAATGTATTTCAAAGATTTATTCTTACAAAATTGGGAAGAGCTGTGACAGTCTGAGAAAAGCTGCTATAGACATATGTTCTATACAACCAGGGTTCCATGAAAGCATAGGGTTCCTCCCCAGAGGTTACTAGGGGTTTCTTGAGCAATTTTTGCGCCTCAGATGTGTAACTACTGACCACTATGATCTTTTTGGCTATCTGTAGGGTAGAAGGGGATTTTTTTTTTTTTTTTTTTTGCCCCCAATGTAAGGCACATACTAATGTGCTGGTGAGCTGTAGCTATAGTAAATTAGCAGGGGTTCCTTGAGACTGGGAAGTTATTTCAAGGGTTCCTCCGTGTTAAAGTTGATCTATAATAAAGCTACAGTGAGATCAGTTGAATTGCCAAGAATATGAGGGATTCATTGCAGATGTGGAAAAACTTTTTTTTTTTTTTTTTTTTCCCCTTCGCTCTTATGCACTTAATGCTTTACAAGTGCTTTTTCAAGGGAATTGACACTTGGACTGTAAAGCAGCTGCACCTATATATACAGTGCATTCATAAAGTATTCAGACCCCTTCACTTTTTCAATTTTGTTATATTTCAGCCTGATAATGGTTTAATTTTTTCTCAATCTGCACTCCAGTTTTAAAATTCTGTTTTCACTTTGTCATTATGGGGTATGAAGTATCACATTAGCATAAGTATTCTGAACCTTTGCAGCAACACTTGAAATTTTAGCTCATGTGCGCCTTGTTTCACTTGATTGTTGCAGAGATGTTTATACTCTTTGATTGGAGTCCACCTTTTTATAGGAGGTTTGTGCACCTTTCCAAATGTCCAATCAATTTAATTTACGAAAGGACTCAGCTGACCATGCATACTGTTTCAGAGCAAAAGCTCAGACATTGCTGTTGTTGCAAGGCACAGATTTAGGGAAAGGCTACAAAATTCTGCTGCACAGAACTTTACTTTGAGCACAGTGGCCTTCATAATTTTCAAATGGAAGATGTTTAGCTCTTGGAAGAGTCCTGGTTGTGCCAATCACCCAGCCAAACTGAGCAATCAGATTAGAAGGGCCTTGGTAAGAGGTGACCAAGAACCTGATCACACTGTCCCATCTCTGCACAACAGCTTTGGAGCTCAGGCTGTTTCAGAAGGAAAACTATCACTTCATCCCTTCACTGACCTGGGCTTTACAACAGAGTGGCTAGATGGATGCCTCTCCTCCTGTATAACACTCATGAAAGCCCACTTGGAGTTTGCAAAAACAGCACCTGAAGGACTTTCATCAGACCAGAGAATCTTGTTCCTTAGTCTGAAACAAAGGTTGAACTGCTTGTTCTCAA